GGGGAGTCGAGAAGCTCTGAAATGATTCAGCAGCATCGTTCACCGGAGAAGATGCTGTGGCTCGCGCTGCGGTAACGGACGAGGAGGATGTATGATGTAGAGAGGAACGGATGAAGGGGAAAAGGTTTATCTGGAGCCTTCATTTGGTCAAACCATCTTTCATCTCTCCCTTGCTGAAATATTAAAAACCTTTTCTGCCATCGCCAAGCCAGACCCGGGCTTCTGCTTAAGGATCTCCAGTTTTTGCCTGGGTGGTATGGGGACGGGGCTCGGTCGGATGGGTGTACGCTGCGCACACCCTTCGGAAGTCACACCATTTGCCCTTAATCCTTTTCTTAGGATCCAGAGGGCCAAGTTCCTGGAGATGAACCCTTCACCGACTCAGAAATCCTGTTTTATTAGTTTCCCTGGGCGCTTCCCTCTGCTCTGGACTGAGACGCAGGATGAAAAAATAAACCCCGGTCTTTAAACGTTTGGAGACGAAGGATGGTTGATCTTTTAGTGGACAAACAAAAATCTTGGAAACAGGCGCCAGCTTCGGAGTCCTGCAGGACTCTTTGTCAGGCGGGGCATCTCAGAGGTGGGGGAGACATGAGGGATTTGCAGAAACAACGGAAAATCTCTCTCCCTCCCCCTCCGCCGCTGCCGCCGCCCCTAATCATACCCAGGAGCAGGTGCCAGGGTCTCTTGCTTAGAAAACCACATGGCTTTTTTCTTTTTCTTTTTTTTTCCTTTTCTGCATGCCCTTGAGAATCGGTCTGCAGACAAAGCCCCCGTCTGTCTGGGGAAGGAAAAAAGGCGAGAAAACAGCGCTGTGTTTCTCTCCTGGGCTAGAGGGAGCAGGTTTGGAGTCGGGGAGAGGAAGAGGGCAATAAATGCTGGTTTTAAAAGGAGATCCCTGCTCGGCTGAGCATTGTCAGCATCGAGAAATAACCAGGAACCAGTCGAATTCAGAGGACGCGTTTCTGTCGTCTGAAACCGACAGGGGATTAGACGGTAAAGAACTGGCTGTTTTAGACAAGAGAGGAGAAGTCACGAGAAACGCCTCCTTGCTCCCGGAGGCTCCGGGAAGCTCGCCTCTTGAAAGGATCCGAATTCGCTGCGCGGTGGCGGCCTGAGCACGTGAGAACGCGGAGGGGAGACACGCGTCTTTGCTTTCGGGGCCCCAGGCGTGCCCCTGGCGCAGCTGGGCATTCCCGGGCGCCGCTGCACGAGCGGGGAGTTCTGCGCTTCTGGGGCGCAGCGGCGCAACGGGAGAGGGAGCGCGCGGCCGGCGGCGCTTGGATGGCTTCGTTGAATTGCGCACCCCGGGAGGAGGCGCGCCGGCGGTGGCTCTGGCTTCTTGGGGGTTATGTTCGGTCATCCACCTGCAGTTTCCGAGGGCACTTCCCCGAGAGGCGGAGGAAACCGCGCTCTCTCCCCCCCGCGTTGCTTTCGTTCGGCGTAATCTCGGGGGGGTCGCATCCTGATGGGGTGGGTGGCCTGCCTTCGCGAATCGGGACCTGCCTGGTTCCTCTGAACTCAGGAAAAAAAGGGCCAGTGGGCAGAGAGGGCAACAGAGCGGTTCAGAGGGCCCTGGAAACTTTATTAGCTCTTAAGCTGGTCCATTCCTTGAATTCTTGGAGGAGGCGGAATATGGGGATACTCAGTGTAGGAATGGCAGGTCCACGTGTCCAGAGCGAGCGAGCGAGAGATCAGCTGTATTTGCATTATGGAAAGGGAGCAGGGCATCTGAGGAAGTAGAGTATGTTTCAGGGCTTCCCCAACCAACCACCTGACATTTACAAAAGGATTTGAATTTAGGTTGCCAACTGATAGGGCTCCTGTGTTCTTCAGAGCGACCTGCTATGAAGGACAGTCACCCATATGCAGGTGTACTTATGTATGCATCTGTGTTTTAGTGTCTACACCTCTGTATTGAACTGCCTATCTGTCTATGCACATAAGTGTGTGCGGTGCAGGTGACTCTCCTAGCCTTACCATCACTCTCATTTTTTGCAAGGGAAAGTTTCACTTCTTCCCTGGCAGAAGTCGGGAAGTCGCACTGAACTGTACTTTTAAACTGCATCTGCAACTTGACAGGGTTAGGCAAGTATAAAACTTTTGAAACCACAAGGCTTAGCAGCACACTTAACTGTGTGACAGGCCTTGGCTTTCCTGGTGCGACTTCAGACTTAGAATTGTTCCTTTCTTTAATTTTATTTTTATTGAGATTCATTAAATACTCTCTCTCTGTGTGTGTGTACATATATATATATGTTCTCAAACAAGTCTCTGCCCCATACACCCTTATTTTTAATACATACATACATACATACATATATGTTCACGTTCTCAAACAAGTCTGTGCCCCATACACCCTTATTTTTATACCTCATTGTCAGTAGCTAAGTCCATATGACTCACTAGAAGCCTCGTTTCAGTTCAGATTGGAAACCAAGAACCCTGAATGAGATCAGTTTATTGATTGTGGAAAAACAGTGAGTAATGTTGCGATGATAAGAGTAAGCCCAGGTAATCAGTGAGAGATGTAATGTTGTGCTTGAGATGGAGAAGGCGTAAGCTTTGTGGACGGAATTAGTGAAGCAGCAAAGAAAAACTCCCAACACCCTTTTTTAAAATTACTTTGAATGTTTTACAAGAGAAGCTGCCGTTCTACAAAACCGTAGTCTTTATCCATCAACATTAGAGCACGTTTCCCTTTTATAACAGCAGTGGGAAATAGTTGGTCTTTAAGATAAATTGGGCTTTAACCCCCATCAGTCTCAAGGACCTTTGCTAATTATAAGATACAATGGGAACTGAAATCCAAGGCATGGACATGGCGCTATGGAGAGTGCACCTAATTTATGCCTCACGTGTGGTTAAGCACACATAAATGTCTCGGGTTGAGCTGTTTTACCAGCCACGTTTCCTGCTACCATTGATTCTGTGTCCATGCTCGAAAAACTTTGCTTGCCAATCACTTCCATGTTCTCTCATTACAGAAGATGGATCTGCACTGCTAGCATTCCAGGGTTTCATCACATAACATCTCTGTTGTTGTTATGTGTCATCAAGACTCATCCAACCTATAATGACACTAATAGGGGCTTCAAGATATTTGAGATATTGAAGGAGTTGCTTTACCGTTGCTGCCACCCATTGACTTCCCATTGCAGAGCTGTAGCTTGAAGCTAGGTCTCCTGAGTTCTAGTCCATCACTGTGTCTTTTCTGTCACTTTGTGTCTCTCAGGATCAGCTTTGCTTTCCAATGTTCCATACTAATGAAGTGTAGTGGATAGACAATTGAATCAGGACTCAAGAGGCTTGGATTCAAATCATTGCTCAATCATGGAAACTCAAGTGCGGTTGAGTGGCAATTGGAAGCCACTCCTTGGACCTTTCACATGCCTTGAAAACCCTACTAGAGTAATCATAACTCAGAAGCAACTTCATGACAGATGATATGTACAGTATGTACAACTGTTCATTTTCTGGTTGATAAAGAGTGCCCAACCAAAAGTGCTAGAAAAGTCTATCCCATACACAGAACCTTCTATATTTCCTAAACCCACAATTTGGAAAAAGTTACTTTTTAAAAAAACTAGAACTCCCAGAATCCCCTTGCTAGTGTGTTACAGAATTCTGGCATCTGTAGTCCAAAAAGTGACATTTTAAAGCTCTAGCTAAGCGTTCCTGAAGCATAGTATGTCGTGTACATGATTGCAAGTTGATTTTAACAACAACAACAACAAATTAAGGGTCATATGAACAAGCCTCCAGCGGAAATATGCCTAAGGCTTTGGAGAAATCACTATCTCTAGCTAAGCGTTCCTGAAGCATAGTATCTAGTGTACATGACTGCAAGTTGATTTTAACAACAACAACAAATTAAGGGTCATATGAACAAGCCTCCAGCGGAAATATGCCTAAGGCTTTGGAGAAATCACTATCCATTTTCATTCAGAGTCTCATGACCACTACTCTATATGCTCAATAGAAGCTGATAAGTGAGCATCTGTCATTCCCTCGACCTTAGTTGCAATGTCACCATGGAACGCTCAAGCCTTATCTTATCCATCAATTGCACACAGAGATATCTCCCCCACGTTGCCCTGTAGAATTAGAACAAATGGATAAGGAAAGGTGCAAAGCTTTCCTGATCGATTTTCCTTCTCTTGTTAAAATATTCTTGGCTTTACCGGTCATCCTAGAAAAGAGTCAATTCCTAAAGAGCATGGGGAAGAACCTGCACATTCTCCATGAAATTCCCTATCGGGGAAATGGGGGTATCTCTGAGTTGCCATGTACAATTTTGCATGGGGAATCACTTTGCTACCTGGAAATTCTTCTAGGATTTCCCCCCCAGTTCGTC